ATCCCATACAATCGACAATGTAGCTTGAGTCTTGGATCCAGCAGGTTGAAAAACATGCCAGGTACACGTGTGTGCATGCCCAAATTCTCAAGAAGAGAATAGAGAAGAGATTGCAGTGTGGCCCTCCCTGCCCCCCATGGGGATGCTTTCTCATTTTCCCTTTCTCTCTCTCTTTTTATTTTTGGAGAGGTTTTTGCCATAGGGCGCGTGCGCTCGCCAGAAAGACAGAGAGAGACAGAGAGACAAAAAGCGAGAAATCACCCCCCAGGGGAGAGGCCATGCTACAATCCCTTCTCCTCCATTCTCCTCTTGGGATCTTGGGCATGCACGCACACTCGCCCGACGTGAGTTTAAGCCACTGGGTCCAAGACTTGAACCGTGGTCAGCTACATGGGAGTTCAGCGACATAGCCATTATGCTAACTGCTGGTCCCCCTATCTCTCTTTCTCTATCTCTCTGGCTCTCTCTGGTGAGTATACACACCTGATAGCAAAATTAAAAACAAAAATAATGCAGTATAAACTCCTGAAATTCTTTTAATAGAGAACTACAGATTCCCTCTTATACACTAGCTAGTCCAATAATAAAAAGAATGTTATCTTGAAAATAAAGCATGTATGTAGGTCAACCTTATATATTTTTTAACAATGCATTTTGTCCAATATTCAGTAAAATACAGAAAATTATATGCATGTGGGTCTTTCTATGTCAATATAGGAAAAATATGTTCACATAATTAAAAAATATATTTTTATCTGACCCCAATGAAGATATTTAAAAAAATTGTTTTAAAGTGCATTTATATAACAAAAATAAGCCTATAATGTATTTTTTAATCTGTCATTTGATTTTTAATTATCTTATAATGTCTTATAATGGCAAGATCTATGAAGATGGTGTATCTGCTCTACTTTAATCCTTCTAATAAATTGGCAAAAGCACCAATCACACATACAGTAGTTCTTCAGTTTCTATGTGGATTTGAAGAATTGTCTAACAATCCTAAAATATAACTTAATCTGACTTAGATAATAGAACTCAAAGGTATAATTTAACATGCTACTAAATCTGACTTTCAAAAGCATCTGACCTTATAAATCATTTATAAGTATGTAAAGTGTTACTACATATTCTTTATTTGACAATATACATAAACCATTCTAAAATGTCTTTCAGTAAGTAAAAGGCAGTGTTTTGGATACAGGGAATTCTAAGTAAATTGGTAGAGTTATGACCAAATATATAAAGTAGATACATTTATTTATTTATCTATTTATTTGTTGTGATTTTCGGGCCACTGGACCTAGGTCTTAAACTGTAGTTGACCATGTGGGAGTCGAGCACCTCACCACCAAGGCACCTGCTGGCCCAAGCCTGTAAATGTATTAAAGTAAAACCATTTACTACCACTTTTTCAGACTCTAAATTTTAAAATAACTATGTGGAACAAATGCTTTAATACAAAGTGGAGCACAGAAATATAAGTTAGTGGTTGGTAAGTAAAATTACTTTATTATGATATTGCTAGTGGAATAAAATTGACACACACAACTTGTACATGCAGGTGAATACAACTTAATGGAAATAGTGGTTTTCAGCACATTCCTTTACAAGAATGTGGTCACCCTCCACAAAGTACACAAGCTCATGCACAAGGTCAAGACGTTACATACAGTTGAGATCACAATGTCATGCATATAACAACAGCGTGCTGGATAATCGTACCACAAACTGTGTAGATGTTCTCCCCCACCCCATGAGCCACTGCCAGCAGTTGCTGTGGAGTTTGATTACCCATATCCGTGACATGAACGGTGTCCTTTGGAGAATCTTGTTCCCTGTGGCTGTAAGTATTCTTATTTTTATAATATTTTAATGATGCTTGCTATCAAAATGTTAAATACAAAACTAGAAATTACGGAAAAATAAACTTTTTACAATATTGAACAATTATATACATCTTATCTCAGGCACTTGCAATAAACACCACTTACATTTAAACATATCAAAACTAATTTACTGCTTTGAGTTAAATGAACCCAAAATATGTCTGATGATAGTGTTCCACTGTGATGAAGGGAAATAAACAATCTCCAAAAAAGCATTCCCTCATTTGTAGCACTCAAAAAACTTGGCTAGACTCATCCTAATCACATGGCTAAAGTATGACATACAGATAAATTCTATGTAAGAATATCTATTAAGATAACTCTTTCACTTCCATGATTTAAATTGTAAAGACTTGGTAAACAATTAATCATATTGACACTAATTATTTATATTAGCAATGAAAGAAAGTATAGGATGTAGTCATTAAAATACTTCCCATTTCTCTGAACCTATTAAGCATATTTCAATGTTCTTTTTTTTTTTTTGCCTATTTATATTCTAAGTGCATTCTGGTAAAGATAGAGCTCTATTTTGGTATTAGGCAATACTTGCTAAGTTATTGCTATTACAAAGTATAGAGTCAGAATTACAGAGCCACAAAACATTTTGAGTGGTTCAGCTCTATACCTCTTAGTGGCAATATTCTGTCCTTTCAGAACAGTCAATTCGGTACTTCTGGAATACTCCAGGATATCTTTACATCAGGTCAGGGAGTGAAGAAAAAGAAAATACAGCCAACTCTCAATAATAATGGAAAGTAGGATGGATAAGTAAAATCTGAAGATGTAAAAATTTTATTTTAATTAATAACTTCAATCCCCTCTCTTAGCATATACATAATTTAAAAAAAAAAAACTTTGTCAGATAAAAAAGCACTTGAATTTCACCTCTTTCTCAGCCCCCTCACTCCAACACTCTAGAGGAGGTACTAATAAGAACTCCAGAGTCTGATATATGTAGCTGCAAAGATGGAAACACATTTTTACATTTAGTTTTTCACATTTTGATATTTAAAACTATCCATCTCATATTCTAGTAATATGAGGTCTTAAGCATATTTTCATCTTTGCATGAAAAGAATGAACTTACTATTTGTTTTAAAAATTGCAACTCCTTTAGCAAGTAATAACTACTTACCATAATCAATATCAGCAGTTACATCCAACTTCTCTGACTTTGTAAATCTACAACTTAGTACTTACCAAGTTACACTTTTCTTGTAATAATTGCAAGTCATGTGAATTTATGATGACAGTTTTAAACATCAATATCATTTATGACAAGACCCAGTTAACTTGATAAACTGGGCATAAAAAGGCTTGGGCTAATGACAACTGCTCTCTTAAATCTCATCTATCTAGATTCTTATGTATGTTCTGACTCAGTTCTTCTCCAATAACCATCATTCAATTACTTCGACAGACTGATGCAAAATATATATTGTATTATAAAATTTGTTATTTTAACTCTTTCAATTAGCAATAAGTAATGTCTAATTTTAATAAAGAATGAAGAATAATGAAGTCTCTGAAACCACACCATTCTTCAAATATGTAAGTGTAGCAGAATATCCTGTCCTAAGCAAGCATGCCACAGTGCAAAACAATAGAGGTGATCTGCTTATGTTGCTTTGTTTCTAAGGAAGATAATTGGGACTTGATGAAAAATAAAGTAAAAACAAGTGTATTTTACAGCAAAATACATTAGAAAAATATTTGCAGTAAATGGACAAATATCCGTTCATTTTAAAATAATGGTCATCAGATTCTAAAAAGCAATAATACACAGGCTTCAGTGTATAATTTAAATTTTAACTCCTTATAAATATTTTATTTTCAGTAAGAGCCTAGTTTTTTGTTTACTGAAAGTAAACATTTAAACAGCAGTGAAAGAAAAGAGAACAACTATCTGAATTTAAATATTATACTAGGTTTTATAATATATATTCTTAGCTATATTTGTGGAGATTAGATACCTGACAAGTATATAATTTAATATTTTCAATAATGTTTTATTTTTTACTTATGTGCAAAAAATATAATCGGTATTATTATATACATACTTACAAAATTAGTATTAAGTCAAATATTTTACATTAGAAAAACATTTCCCTAATTATAACAAAGGGTAATTTTAGAAAATATCAGGCTACATAATTTAAACAATCCTTAATACCTCTACAAAACATTTTTAAAGTTGGTTTTTGAAAATTAAGCTAATTGAAATAATTCTATCATTTAAATATTTCCACAGAAAACAAGGCACCCAAGAGTGGTAATTCTGAGGTTTTATAATTTCCACTTAGATTTGTAAGATTAAGTCTAGTATATATTTAGACATATTTGAATATCTGAATTTTTCCAGGTTTTACAAGGGATCTTTGAAAAGTTCATGAAAATGCATATTATGATTAAAAATGATGCATGGATTTCAAAGTCTTTTTACACTAAAATAAACTTATAGTTTAATTGCATTTTTCCCAAAACTTTTGAAGCCTCTCAAATTAAAATGGGAATAGGAAAAAAAATCAGTGAAAGAACTATCTTCACATTTTCATCGTCCTTACATATTATATTAAGAAATAATTAAATAATATGAAATTATTCAACTTCGTCACAGAATCTATAAACAGCCTCTATGTTAACAAGGAATAATACTGTTAAGTTACATTGTCATTATTTAAACAACGTGTTCATATGTTGGAAACTAATACAATCTCCTGTATGATTATCTCTGAAGAAACATCACTGCTAAATAAACAATACAAGGGAAGAAAATGCTACAAAGTTCGATAAACATTCCGTGTTCTCATTATCATTTTGTGCTTTCTAATTACGATGTACTAATATTTCAATCAGGTCAGTAGAGGACTGCATATTTATGACGCATGCTGTCACACAAAGTGAGTTGGTAGAATGACCAAAATGTGACATGGTAAGGTAAAGAAAACTAAGTGAGAAAGCAATAACAAAACACTGGGCTTCTCAGTGACTGAGAATGCACATTTAATGAATGACTTATTATTTTAACTGCAAATTTAGTATATTAGAAAGCTGCAGCAAGATAGTAATAAAGTTCACCTGAAACAAGTATTCAAATTCTTCACTTACCTCCTCTGGGTTGGCATTAAAAGTGAGGCTGCCCTCGTCAAGCTGCATATACAATTTTCTAAAAGAAAATCCTAGAGGTGGGTTCTTATTGTAAATGGAACAGTGACCCCAAGTGGATTTGCACAACCTGTAAAAGTAAGAGAAAATGAGACAAGAAAAACTTTACTATATTTAATTTCCCCAAGTTAAACATGCATACACACAGTAAAATAGCAACATAAAATGCCATTAAATTGGAATTTAGAGCTCTAAGGTTTAACATTTTAAATTTTGTATGTTTTAATTGCTCACTAGAGTATAATACATGCCTAAATTTAGCAACATTGATAGTACCTAATTAAAGTGTGCTACAATGATTAATAATATTAATGAGTACTATCTGAACTTAAACAGGAACTATTAATAATCATAGCAATAACAGCTGCCGAGTGCTTAGGTGGATACCAACTACTGTTTTGAATATTTTAATTGTATTAGCTGTTTTAATCTTCACAATAATGCTCTGATGTTGATGCTATGTATAAGAAACAGAGACAAAAAAATTGCCTAAGGTCATGAAGCCATTAAATATAGAGGCATGGTTTGACTACCTGAATCACATTCCAGTGCTTACAACCTTATAAATTTTTTTTAGAAAGATTTGTTGTTGTTGTTGTTACAGGGCACATGCACTCACCAGAGAGACTGAGAAAGAGTGACAGAAAGCAAGAAATCATCCCCCGGGGGGGTGGCCACACAACAATCCCTTCTCCTCCATTCTCCTCTCGGGATTTTGGGCACACATGCACATACGCCTAGCATGTGTGGGACTTGAACTGAGGGCCACTACGTGGGTGTCCAGCAACAGAACTATTACACCACTCGCTGGTCTCCAGTGCTTGCGATCTTAACCAAGAAACTGAACAGGCTCTATCTTAAGTAACCTATATGATGTATTATGAAATAAAACTACATGAGGAAAAAAGGTTCCTGGGCAGGGGTATTATTCTTTACTATCACAGGGATACATAATTAAAAATTCTATAAAATCTAAAATACTAAAAGTTTATATCTCACAGCATACTATTTTCTGTAGACTAGGATAGTCATTTTTGACTCTGTATAGAGGCAATAGCTACTGGTTATTATTTGAAAGCTCAAGTTTTATCTTATAATTCTTATAAATTCTGGATATATACCAAAGAGCCCTAAATACGAATGCATTGTTCTAGAGACAATGAATACTGAATACTCAAAATACTAAAATTATGCTTCATTTTTTAAAAGAATTATTTAACTTTATTTATTATTATTATTTTTTAATTTGCCTAGAGAAAGAGAGAAAGACAGAGAGAGAGAGAGAGAGAAAGTAAGAAAGCAAGCCACCAGGTCCAAGACTTGAACCATAGTCAATCGTGTAGGAGTCCAGCATCTTTAACCACCACGTCACCTTCTGGCCTCTGCTTTGATCATTTTTAAATAAGTCTTTGCTTAAAAATGATTTAATTTTGTGTTTATGTGTGTTTAAAACACCTGCTATTTGTTGAGACAACAAAATATCTGCATTTACTGACACTCTTGATTTTTTGCCTTCAACTTGCTCTTTCCACACACATACACAGGAAAACAAGAAAAAGTTATGGTCTCAGCCAGTAACATCAGAAGTTCTGAGGGTAATTGGGTAAAATATCTAATTTAATATAAATTATACTATTAATAATTAATTTATAAACTTGTATTATTTTTGCTAACCAGATGTAATGATTGATTCTAAAACTGTAAGCATAAATTGTTTAGAAAATTATCAGTATTTTAGTAATTTATTTAATCTTTTACTATAACTTCTGAATTTTATTACGAAGCTATATGGAAGCAACAGACTCAACATCAGTATTTGATACATCCAAATTTAAAACAGAAACTAGGCCAATCTTTTCATTTCAAGTAAAAGCAATTTATTGGGTCAGCCAGGTAGCACAGTGGTTAAAGTGGCTCAATTCCACATGGCTGACTGTGTGGTTCAAGCCCAACACCCTTCCCTATCTCTCTTTCTCTATCTTTCTTGTTCTCTCTAGTGAGCACATGCACCCCATAGCAAAGTTAAAAACAAAAAGAAGTGAGTATAAACTTTTGAGATTCTTTCTATAATATAAAACTACAGATTCCCCATTTATATGCTAGCTAGTCTACAACAAAAAGAATGTTACCTTGAAAATAAATTGTATATGTATATTAATTTCCATCTAAAGCATGTATATAGGTCAAACTTAAAAATTTTTCATAATGGGTTCTATCCAAGATCAATCTAGTAAAATGAATAAAATGATATGCATGGAGATCTTTCTATGTCAGTAAAAGAAAAATGTATTCACGTAATTAAAAAAAAATACTTAAAAACAAAAAAAAAACAACACTCAGTGGGTTTGTGTGCATGCCCCAAATCCTAAAACAAGAATTAAAAAAAATACTTAAAAACAAAAAAAACAACACTCAGTGGGTGTGTGTGCATGCCCCAAATCCTAAAACAAGAATGAAGTAGAAGGGATTGTTGCATGGCAATCCCCACTTGGGGGTGGTTTCCCACTTTTTGTCTCTCTGCCTCTCTCCATTGAGTGCACAAGCTCTAAGGCAAAAATCTTAAAAGAAAAAAAAAAGAATGAGCCAATTCTAAAGTATTTTCATTTCCTCTTATATTCACATAATGATTAAATATGATTACAAGCTGATTTCTTTGAAACACTACAAATTAATAAAATTTCTTCTCACATACTATTGGGTTGTCAGAAAATTCATGACACGTTTTTGCATAAACAGAAAAATATGTCATGACTTTTCCAATAATGTAATACTTCACTATGAACAGGTAATAAAAGAATAACAGCATGGTACTACTAATTTTTAACTATTTAGAGGTTGAGGAATGGCTTATATAAATTTATACCATAATTCTGTGACATTAGAAATCTAAGATACAGTATTACTGGAAATATATTTTTACTAAAGGTTGGCAATTTAGATTAATTGGTTAATTTTCTTAATCAGATTTTTAGTTAGAAATTAAAGTCTTAAAAGTACTTTTGTTTTTGGAGATGTTCTACATCTTTATAAAATCCCATTTTAATGAATGCAACTTAAATAAACTTTGGTAAAGAATGCTTAAAAAAAAAAAAAACCCTGATATCCAGTGAGTCTTTTATGCTTGGTAACATTTTTAGGACTGAAAAGAAAAAAAATCATGTACCTATAATTTTTTTGTACCTATATGATGCTATTTAAGGAATAACTTAGAACCAATCAAACAGATTCTATTCTACCAAACATTCCTGGATTTGTGAATTTAGACTGTAATAGCAGCTGTTAAAGCTTCTATAATTAGGGCCAACAGGTGGTATGGTGGTTAAGGTGCTAGACTCCCACATGGCTGACCATGGTTCAAGTCCTGGGTCTAACGGCTTAAAAATCATGTCGGGCTCATGTGCATGTGTGCCCAAAATCCCAAGAGGAGAATGGAGAAAGGACTGTGTGTGACATGGCCTTCCCCCCACTGGGGATGATGACTTCTAACTTCCCCTCTCGCTGTCTCTCTGTCTCTCTCCGGTGAAGGCAAGTGCCCTATGGCAAAATCTAAATAAATAAATAATCTATAATTGACACGAAGAGAGGCAGCCAGTAGTGTGGTGGTGGGTAAAGTAGCTAGATCACAAATGACCTACTGCACAGTGCAAGTCCTAGACCTAGTGGTTGAGAATCATGCCAAAGTGAGTGGTTTGTGCACCCAAAATCTCAAAAGGAGAATAGAGAAGGGATTACAGCATGACCATTCCCCATAAGAGCTTTTGCTTTCTCTCTCTTTCTCTCAGAGTGTACACACCCTATTGCAAAATAAAAAAAAAGCGGAGGGCTGGGAGGTGGTGCTCCTTGCTTTCTAATGTTCGTCTGTTTCACTGATGAAGTAATGGTTTGAAAAAATAAAAAGTAAGTGACTTTACCAGCTAAAGTTTATGATAAGAAATGCCTATGATAAAGATACATACACATAAGTAAAAATACACATATTAGTCAATTTGTAATTAATTAAAACAATAACACTTGAGGATTATTTATTGATTTTTTAAGCATGCCTATTCTTCTTCGCATGAGATAACTACAGGAAATAAAAAACTACATTAGAAGTGTGAATACTCCAAGTTTTGGATTATAAATTCTCCCTTTACAACTCTGTTGTATTTTTAAAAATAAACTAACAATTTCTGATTTATTATCAACTGACACATCTCAAGTGGTAAACTCACTTCTATCTGTCAAGTCATCACTATCTTCTTTCTTTTCCTAATATCAAATTTGACTGTGATGGTAACTATATCCTTTTAATCCAGGTTTAATAAAGACAACTCAAAATATAAACTCCAGTTAAGAAGAACTACTTTGTAATACATATACAATACTAAAAGAACATTTAAGCATGATTATGCTCAGAAATATCTGAATCAAATACTGATAGGTTTAACGTACCCTTGCCAGAGAAGTTCATCATTAGCGAGATCTTGCCACACACATGAAGCCAAGCAGAGATCAGTTGCATTCAAGTAGGACAAGATGGTAAAGCTCAGCTCAGGAGGCAACATTTCCAAATTAATGAATCCTTCTTGTTCTTTAGATTTCCTTGCCTTCAAGAGATGATATATATCAATGCCCCCACCTTGGACTTGTTTACGGTGGTTGGTGTTAGGTATGTTGCTAGCAGCCATCCTCCTGCTTTGCTCTCTGGTGAGGTAGCCTGGCTCACTGTAGCCTTCCTGTTGTAGCTGCTGGTTTCTGACCACTCTCCACAGCCCCTGACCCATCTGCAAGCCTGGGAGAAAGCCAGAAAGTAAAAGCGTGCCATGAAAATGTAAGCCATCTTTCCCAGTGGGATAACAAATCTGACATGCAGCATTCGTTTATCAGAATGAACATTCCTCATTAAAGCCTATAAAAACCAATAGAATTTTACAAAGAATAGTTGGAATGGTGTAAGTGCAAGCCGTGGACAGAAAAAGTTTCAGGAATATTTGGTTTGATCATCACTTTTATCCCAGTTTGCTAGCTACTTTTAAAATCCACAGGTGACATAATCATTTTTCACATGGTATGATTTAAAAGTTACTGATGTCCTAAAGACTCTTACAAATTATAATTATGTGGACTTATGGGCCAGTATTAAATACAGCTCTGATCAGAGCACAGGACTTCAGTTAAAAGGCCTCCAGATCCTGCTTTTTATCACAATTCAGGCTAAACTAAGCTAGCCGCCTTTAACCAAACCCCCAGATGCATAACAGCTGTGAAACAGACTTTTGGTTTAATTCTTGCCAGTCTACAATTATGTTGTAGACTGTAATAAAATGTAACATAGGCCCTGAAGTCTAATTCAGAAGCCTTATAAATTAGACACCTAGAACTCCATGGTAAATAGCTGACTATTGGGTTTTGTTGTTTTCGATTAAAAATCATAATTTAGACTAATTTTTCAATTCTCCTCCACAAAGCCCTATGGATTCCTCACAGGTACCTGGGGGAAAGGAATGAGAAAATATAGGTGCACTTTGGTCTTTTCCACCTCCATATCACTTCCAAACAGAGTGGCTCTAGGTTTCCCTCGTAAATATGTTGATCTTTTCCATATACAAGTATTTAGAAAACAACTGGCCTATTTATTTGGTCTTGTCTTCAAAATTAAATAGCTTTTCCAGAGGAAATAAATTTACCTAGAAAAATCAGAAAGAGCTTCTAACTAATACAAATAATTACCTTCATGGTCTCCTTTTCAACAAAATATTCTTCTTTTAAATGCTTATGTCATTTATCTTAGAGAAAGAGACAAAAGACCCTCAACAGGGTGGGTCTCATGACACAATCTTTCCTTCCTGCCCAGTGAACTTTTCAGCCAGCCAGGCAGGATCATGGGCTTCTAGCACTGCAGAGCTTTGCCATGCTGCCCATTCTGGACCTCAAACAAAACCTTTTTGTTTTGCCAACCCAAGCTAACTACTAGTGCCTTTGTTTCAAAAATTGTGGGGAGGTATAGTTATTTTCACATAAGATCATTAAACTAGTCAAAAACTTCTGTAACATGACTTGAACTTAATATATGACTTTGTTTTAATGAACTATATACAACAGGACTAATAAAAACAAAAGCTAATGAACCTAAAAAGGTAAAACCCAAACAAAACTAACAATGCTGGGAACCAGAAATGTTGAAAATTATTAGAAATAATTTAAAAATCGAAGAAAATTCCAAAGACTGTCAATAATTTTATATATATATATATATGTACCCATGGTGACATGGGTGGTAGAGCACCACTGTGCGTGCTGGAGCTACAGGGAACACTGCAGTTCCAATCTTTGGTTGACCTGAAGCACTCTGGGCACAGGTGCTTATGATCCTGGCTTGCCAGAGAGCTGGGGTGGGGATCATGGCAAGATGAAACCCTGTTGAAATAAACTTTTATTTTATTGGAGACGTTTTTGCTAAAGAGTGCGTGCACTTGCCAGAAAGACAGACAGAGAGACAGAGACAGAAAGCGAGATATCACCCCCACACACACACACCATACACATGGGGGATGGCCATGCTGCAATTCCTTCTCCTCCATTCTCCTCTCAGGATCTTGGGCACGCACGCGCACGCGCCCAGCATGAGTTTTAAGCCACCAGGTCCTGGACTTGAACTGCGGTTGGCTAACTGGGAGTCCAACAACGTAGTCATTACACCAACTGCTGGTCCCTAAAATAAACTTTTTTAAAAAAGCATGATCTATGTGTATATTTACTGAATTATCAGTTATTATTTAGATAATGGCTAGTATTTTTTTTGTAGATTAAAACAGAAAAATGATAATTTTTTAACTCTTCCTTACACTGAACTCCTGGAATCTCAGCAGTGTAAGATAATAAAGGGACTAGAAGGGGTCCAAAAAGAAGAAATATACTCATGATTTTAAAATATGACAAAAGTTGATTTTACAAAGAAGGCAGAAAAGATAACCTTTCTTCTTTCACACACACACCAAAATAATATTCATTTCATACATTAGTAGTTAAGCTATAAAAACTGAATTCTTAAAAAAAATATGGAATATTAAGAAAATGAAAAGACAAGCCACAGATTGACAGAAAAATCCTTGGAACACATATATAGTTGGCCCTCCTTATCCATGGGCTCTACGTATTTTGATTTAATCAACTCATTTGAAAATATTTGAGGAGAAAAATTGGTTGTGCATATACTGAACATGTGTAGGGTTTTTTTCTTGTTATTATTCCCTAAACAACATACTACTACTACTACTATTTACACAGCATTTATATCTTGTTTCATAGTATAAGTAATCTAGAAATCATTTAAAGTACACAAGAGGATGTGCAAAGGTTAGATGGAAACGCTACACCATTTCATACAAGGGACTTGAACATCTGCTGATTTAGGGATCAGCAGAGGACAAGTTCTCAGAACCAATGCTCTGTGAATACTGAGGGACAACAGTAAATGATACAGAGGGGATCAACAGAGGACAAGTTTTCAGAACCAATGCTCTGCGAATACTGAGGGACAACAGTAAATGATACAGAGTGGTATCCAGAATAGACTAAGAACTTCTAAAGCTAAAAAAAAAAAGAAAACAAATGACTCACTTAAAAACAGTCAAAACATCTCAGTAGATACTTCACCAAAGAAGACATGTAGGTAGTAAATAAGCATATGAAAAAAGATGCTCAACACCGTATGTCAGTGGTAAACTACACATTAAGATGAGATATTACACACCTTTTACAGTGGTATATTCAAAACACTGAACGTACCAAATGCCAGCGAGGATGTGAAAATGCAAAACAATACAGGCTCTTTGAAGATAGTTTGGCAGTTTCTCAGAAACTAAACATACTTTAACCATTTACTCCCTGGCATTTTCCTAAGTGGAAAGCTTATGACCACATAAAAACCTGCACATGAATGTTTATAGCAACTTTAGTTAAAAGACTCAAATGTTGTAAGCAATTGAGAAGTAAATCATTAGGTAAATGTATAAGCAAACCCTGGTACACCCACATAATTGAGTATTATTTAGCGCTAAAAAAGGAGTTATCAAGCCATGAAAAGACATGGAGGAACCTTAAATGCATATGACTAAGTGGAAAAAGCCAACATAAAAAGGTTCCATACTATTCAATTCCAATTATGTGACATTCTGGAAAAGGCAAAAAGTATGGAAATAGTAAAAATGATTAACATATAAAAATATAGAATATCTAAAAATTTCTAAGAACTTTTAAATTTGGTTAATGTTTAAATGTCATGTCACATTACAACATAAGTATAACTTAATTTTAACATAAATTGAGCATTTTAAGATTCCTAATAACAAAGTAAGGCATTATATTTTCATCATGACTATTCCTCTATTTAAGTTGGCAAGAAAATATTTAGAAATTTTAATAATTACTGAGCTTACCTACTTATCTGTTATCATTTTAAATAATTAAACTTATTCTTCCTTTTTTGTTTTTGAGTCCTAAAGGCAAAAAATCAAACATGGTAACTACGGTGTCTGACTTAAGATTTAAGGCATTTAATAGCAGTTTCTATGCATTTCCTCCACAGCATCTTTCTTGCGACATATGGTTACACAGCTGTTGTTACTCTCAGACTGTTGCTAGGGAACAAAGAATCAAGGTGATTTCCCTAGGCTCTGGACTTTATTTAATGAGGATAACTCAAATTGAGCCTGGATAATGTGATTCCAAAAGTATCCGGCAGGTAGAAAGAAGTAAAGCCAGCAGCTGGTTCTTTAAAAAAAAAAAAAAAGATGGGGAGGATGGAGATCTGAGGCTCATGTGCACATTGTTCAGTGGTTCTGACAAAAAACTGCAAGATAAGATTATACATGTAATTTTCTTTTCTCTTACTGCTAAACAACATTGCAAATTACCCTTTTAAGACTTCCTTTTCCCTTCTAAGCAATTCTTGTTATTAGGCAAGAACACAGTAGGATAAACCACTCTGAGGAAGATTAATATCATAAATATGGCATTTAGAGAAGTGAAAAGGTTTCTGTAGTGTTCTGTCTCCACCCCTAATCTTCATTGGGGTAAATAGAGAATGTGAAATATGGGTATAACTGTCAGAAATGTGATAAAACTAAAAAATACATGACATTGATTATAAAGTTATGAAGCGAGTCATGGAGGGAGCATACATTATGTTGTGGACTTTGAAGTCAGGCAGACCCGAGTTTAAATATTGACTACATTAATTATTTATAGCCTGGTTGGGAAATTACTCAGCTACTTTAAGCTTTAGATTCTTCATATGTGATATGGAAAAATAATGGTAATAGTACCTATAGTTCAAAAGGTTATTGTAGGGGACCAGCAGATGGTGTAATGATTACATCTCTGGACTCCCATGTAATGAACTGTGGTTTGAGTCCTGGACCTGGGGCTTAAACTCATGCCAGGTGCATGTGCGGGATTGCCCAAAATCCCAAGAGGAGTATGAAGAAAAGGAAATGTGGTGTGTCCATCCCCACTGGGGAGTGATTTCTCACTTTCTGTCTGTCTCTCCAGCAAGTGCACGTACCTATTGCAAAAATCTCTTTTAAAAAAAGGCTATTATATTTAATGAGATAATGAATATAAAGTTGACTTAGTGGCTAACAATCAATACATATTAGATATTACTTTGTTGTGACAAAATCCCATTTTCATCAAGTGAAGATGATGAGCACTTTTATAAAACATATAAAATGATAATTTCAGCTGTCTTGATGTTCTGCCTGCCACATAAACTCATTTGCTGATACTGAT